GGCATCAAACGACGGCACAATCTGTCCAATTCAGGATGGCCGACAATGCGAAGATCACGACGAGACGCATCGGATACGGTTTTCTGACGATTCCATATCAAATACGTCGCGCTCATCCGTGAAACCCGTATGGCCTCCCACAGTCCAATTTTCCCGTTCAGCAGTTCCATTTCCAGGCATCGGTGCATGGCCTTGACCATGTTTGTATCGGAATGCCATAGTTTGCTACTCGTGGCATTCTGCAGCTGGCCCACTTGGAAGCTTTCGGGAGAATAAACGAATTTATGTACATGAAAAAGGGAGGGTCATTTAAACGAATACGTTCCAATGAAGCTAAGTATTTCCACAATCGCGATGTGTGCATGACAACAAAAAACGCGTAAATGATTGCGATCGCGGAAAATGTTTGGTAACTTTCCTGAGAATATGTACACGACAGAATAAATGATTAGCAAAAGGAAATACACCGGCAATTGCGTTTCCAATGGTAAGCGCACCGTCAGACATGATGCACTTGACGAGAGAACCGCCACCAACAAACTCCAGAAACGTTAGCAGGAAAGTTCTCACGTCTGCCTCAGTCTCCCGCCAAAGAAAACCAATGACCACAGGGAGACTTTTACGGCAGCCATCGACGATAAGCAACTGATACAGAAAACATTTGTGTTGGTTCGTGGAAAAAGTACTGTCAATAAGTAAAAAATCGGTAAACCGTCTGTAAAGATCGAGCATTTCTGAGGTGAAGTAGATGAAGTGGGTCACTCTATTACTTCCATCCCTCAAACAGCTAGCTCGTTTTTGTTCGTTGAACTCTGACTCCAGGTCGAGAATGTAACCTGTAAAAAGTACTTATTTTTAACAGTAATTGGAATTACTTGGATTGTTCCGCCCAAACATGTGTCGCGCCCGGATATTTCCGATATCGCTGGTTGAGATATTTGCCGAACTTCGACCTCACATAGAACCGGATGTTAAAGCATCGGCTGCGGCATTCAAGCATTGGCTGAATGATTTCCAGTTCCTCAGGCAGCAGTCGACGATTACGGTTAAACCACCGAGATGCTTCGGGACCAAGCAGCTCGTGATTGTGTACCATATGAGATTTAGTAACCCGAAAGAAGGTTCCCAGTCTGCCAACGTTGAAGAACGCCTCGCACTGTGTGTGATCAAGCAGCCGGCGTCGTTTTCCCTCGTTTGGAGGACGTGCAAACCCTTTCCGATGCCATTGGTATTTGATGAAAGTTTTCTCACCAGTGGAACTCGCTTTCGAGTTACGCATGCTGTAGTACGATCCTGATGTTCGCTCGAACTGCTTAATGCAGTGTACCAGTTCATGAACGTTGCTGAATAGGCGGCTACCCAGATGACTCGCGAACAAGGGGGTGACGTCCACTGTGCACCCTTCAGCAGACACGGGAGCAGTTGCAACGACAGACTGCGACGAGGAAGCCATGACAAGTGTGCTTCGACGCGCTGCGCAGCCTATTTAATGAACACCAACCAATGAAATGGGAGAACTAGCATTATTATTCGATGAATGTGTACTGCTGAAAGCTTTCACAGTAGTGTAAACTTTACGATGAGTGGCGTATCCGGTCAGGAACGAAAAATCAGTTGGTGGGGATAGTGATATTCTATTGTGTCTCGGTTTGGCGCGAGAATTCCTAGGCTTACTTATAACTATGCCAGTTGGACACTACGCGTTAGCCTTATCGCCAGTCGTTGATGCCTTTGTGATACTTGTGTGTCGCATTATGTCTAGTCCAGCATGATTGACGGATGTGCCGTATCAAGGATATCAACCGATGAGGGTAATGGTCGACAAACAGAACAACGGCACCGAGTACGTCCATCGATTTGCTTCCAAAAACGTAAAACGGCGCTTGTTTGCTTGTTGACGGCAGATGTACTTCGCCAAAAGCGGATGACAGAGGTGGGATTCGAACCCACGCCCTTTCGGACCGGTGCCTTAAACCGGCGCCTTAGACCGCTCGGCCACTCTGCCACGGGCGCGGCGTGGTGAGCAGCATATACAAATAATCTGCAATAATGGATCAGCTCTTAGTCAGTACGACCTGAGTTAATAAATCGAGTCCAGTTTAAGCGACAGCAAAATAAAGTTACTCGTAGAAGATGGTCGTAGACTGCTGAAATTTGGATCCGGGAGACGAAGTGGGGAAACCTACCTGTTTTGCACATTTCAACATCGAAGATAAACAAGAAATGTATGTAACCGGATCCATCATGTATAGATGATATTTCAAACCATGCACGATGTAGAAAAATGATAGTATCAGTTGAAAATAGACTGTACACAAGTAACCCACGGACACATTCGTCACAGCTGGCGGTCATGTGATCAAAGTTGGAATAAAATAGCGGCTTTTCGAGTTCGTCTATTTTGCTGATCTTTACCCTCAGTAATCTAATAACCGGTTGTTCAAACGATAAAACAAACAATCAAACTAGCCAGCAGGATGTAATTGTGATTCGAACTGAGGTCATTTTGTGCGTGTCGCCCCTACAGGTATTCGCCGTGTGTTGGGCCATCTCTGATTGGTCAGTCTGCGACAGCAGGCTGTGACAGGAATGCAGAACCGCCATCTTCATTCTGTTACACTGTCTTGCTTTAGCGTCAGATATCAAAGCAGGTGAGTGGTTTTCAAGAACTACACTCAGTTGCAAATCAGTTTGATTTTGGTGCAATTCGGTTTCAAGTAGCATATGAGGTTGACGGAAACTCGGGGACTGTGCCTACCTGATGAGCCCCAAGTAGGTCGAAGAGTTTTCAGCAACCTTGTGAGTAGTTTCCTTTATGAAAATATACACGTGAGTGGTTGTTCTCAATCTCTAACAACTATGCTACATGAGGATCTGTTCCAGACAAGCCCCGCCAAAAAATTAACTCACACCGCACAAAAAAGATTAGAAACAAGAGGATATGAAATGTGTACTTTTAGTTTTTGTTGAGGAGGGTGAACTCGGGACATGTCATTAATAATTTGACATTTTTCGGTACCTTTGCCTCTAACCGAACTCACACAAGAAGCTGTCCACTTAGGATCGGCGTGTGCCGCATTGGCGTTTGTTCTGCATCGTGAGATATTAGCGTTCCATCGATCTCGACGTGTAGACCTGGGCGGCCGATAACTGTGGGAGTCTCCAGAAGCCACCAGGAGTAAACTTCGCGAAGAAAGTTCTTCCAGTCAACAGCGGTCGTGTGGCTAATAGATAAGTGCTCTGAGCAGAATTCGATTTTTGCCAAATTTTTGGACCAGCAATAAATGAATGGAATTACTGTCCTAAACTCCATCCTAGACCGTTCCAGTCAAGTTCCCTTTCGAAGACCGATGTCCTGCCGACAGTGTCGGACGTTACACCTCCATCTGTCAGAAACAGTTGAAAGTGTTATTTGGTGGCCATAAACGGTGCTGATGGATCACTCCGTGGCTTGGCATAAAACGTATTGCTGTCTGCTTGTCATGAACGAGAGTTGAAAGCGTCATTTAAGGTTTTATATCCCAACGGAGAAAATGTTTGCACAAAATGAGCCTGGATGCGGATAAGGAATTGTTTTCGTCAAAAATAGGTCAAGGTTGTGCGTACATTAAATTGGAGCTGGCGAAATGGGGGGGGGCGGGACTTATCCTTTCGCACATGCACTTTTTACAGATGCAGGGCTTGTTAGTGCGGCTGGTCTGACACTGTCGCTCCAGAGTAGCTGAAGCAGTATGCCGTCAATAAACCCAGATTCTGAGGAAGTTTAGGGAGTGACCAGTGAGTAGTTGAGGAAGTGAGGGCAAACCTACTTTGCCGTTGTCTCCAGAAAGGCGAAAACTCTGCCTAAAAGTCTCATGAAGGGAGGATAAAGACAGTGGTTCCTACAGATGAATGGCACTTTTAGGGAGGTATTTACTGGGGATAGGTTTCGGGGCTTTCTCATCTGTATTACGCACAACCAAATGAGGTTTTTCGTCCCCAGAATGCTTGGGAGACTAGGTGAACTCGACTCAGTCTTGACACGATTAAGTGTGCTTTTCTACGTGGAAAGTAATGTTTGGAGTGATGACCGATCAGCAAAACGTCTCGGACCATTTGGAGAGTTCCCACGGTAATATTTCCCCTCAGCAATTAGTCAGTCACTCTTGGAAGCACATCAAATTGAATCCCACTTAGTCTACTCTTTAATTGAATACGCGACACAAGGGCCGCCTCATGTTTCACGTGACAAGAGATTCGAGATATCGCGGTATATTTTTCGTTTGGCGGGCATGCTATATCTCTGACTGACGAGAACCTTTTAAAAGCACTTGGCCAGATTGGTCCTTCCTAGGAGCTCATCTGTTGACTGCAGTCTCTGAGTTTTAATCAACCTCGGAACCTCTGTTTCATCGCCTGCTCGCAGGTGAGGGCTTTCAAAAGGACAACTGGTCGCCGAGCAAACCAATCGGTCGCAAGGCGTCGGAGAGTTCTTGAGTGGGCAGTAAGCTATGTCAAGGCCGACAATTCAGTCAAGAAAGCATGAACAGAAGCATTCGAAGGATCGTACCAGTTGGCAACGCCAAATAAGGTCACGAAGCTAGAATCGGAACTCGATATTTATCGAGCTCCCAAAAACGCGCTCACTGACTAAAAATCGATTGTATTCCCAGTTATCGGCTACTACAGGACAGACTCCCAGATACACACGCTACGACGCAGAAGTATGAGCGATCGTAAATTCTAGAACCCAGAGTAGACTACTCACATCATCCTCAGCGACAACGTCACTTAAAAACATTTCCTCAAAGACACCTTTTCCATTCCGTCTGCCCTCCTTAGGCTACCGAAAGCAATCAAAAGTTGTGGTGAGTTGACCAAGCGGTTTTCTCCCGAAGGTGCAATCTGGGACCATCTAACCGTCCAATTAGTCTTACAAGCCTCATTGAGGCGGACGCAAGGGACTGACACACTACAGTGAAAAGCTCGCCTTGAATTCCCAACGCAAGTGCAATGTCTTCACCGGAATCTGAATAAACATCAAGGTAGATGACGCACTGTTGCACGACCTGGCTTTCACAGAGATGTGGGTCAGCTGAAATCTCCTTTTTTTATCACGTCTGATAGCAGTTCGAACTCACTGAGGCGTTTTCTGCATTCGAAATACTACCAACTACCATAAACCACTGTTCGACCTACACCACAGTCTTTAGTCCACCATAAGGGGCCAAATTACACCCGTCGTTAGTGACCACAGCTAAAATGTACTTTGCATCACCCAACGGTAGCCGGAAGAAGTAAGGGCAATCACTGTGGTCCTTCAGTTGTTACCTTGAAAGTTGCTTTTGATCAGAACACCGAAAAGCCGTTTTGTCTCTCCGGGAGGAAGCTTCTCCTCAAATCCTGTTGTGGACCACAGTCGCCTTAATGCCTTCTTATTACGGTGAACCCCGTACTGGACAGTCACCTGATTGCCTGGTGTGCTTGACCAAACCAGAAAATCAATGAACGTGCGAGCCGGCTGGTCTATTGATCACTGTCACATTCAAGCGGGTCAAAATGTAATACTAAGAATACAACTCACCTGTCAAGGACGAGTGAAGAACAACCAATGAAATCCGTCTCAACGAAAACGGTTATTTTATTGGCTGTTATGTAGTTCCGTTACGTACGGAGCTGGTTCTCCTGATACTTCCAGGGGATCACTTATTCTGAAATGGGCATTGGTGGGACATAACATAACTAACTAACAC